CCTACGCGTTTCTTTTCAACTTGAGCAGCATCCTCCTGCTTCTGCTAACTCGGCAATCATACAGCTGACAGATTTCTGGGTTTTCTAAATAATGCATGGGATTTTCTTTTAACATGTCAGTGCAAAAGTATCAATTCTGCCCCTGTGTCGTTTGTGATGCTGATTTTCCTTGACAGCATTCCATTAAACCAATGAGTTTTTTCCCTCCTGATGGTTCCTTAAATATTCCTCTGAGTGATGTATTTGTGGTTTTTTAAACAGATTGTGAAGGATGTTTGCATTTATGAGAAAACTGCATGGCAGGTACTGAAAGGAAAAAAGGATAAAAAGATAACACTGTGGTTTTTTTCTCCTACAAAGAGTTTTTCCTCTGATCCTCATATGCCAAAAGCCAGGGTGTTTTTCCTTTCTTTTCTGCCTAACTTAGCTCCTCGTTTGAAAATTAAGCAACAAGACTCTACGTACAGAATAACATTTTGACTTCCTAAGGAAATACCACTGAAACACTTAGTACCGTTTGATATCTCTCTTGGGAAAGCAAAACACATTTATTAAATCATGCATGTTAACTCCAAAAGCCAACAGAAGGAAAAAACTGCTTTATTCTCTGCACTGAGGTTCTGTACAAACAGGTACTGTCACAGATTACCATGCACTGATCTTTCTTTGTTTATGCAGCTGTGTAACACAGCATTCTTAAAGGTAATCCCACCAATACTTTACTTCGCAGTCTATCTTCCACACTCCTTCTCTACCACATACTCTCATAATTTACCTGGAACCGTGTTACAAAAATAAAAAAAAAAAAAATTACAAAGCTATTTCAAATAAATTTCAAATTTCCCAGATAATCATATGCTCATTTCCACAAGTCGCTTCACCTAATCTCAGTATTCACGATGACAGAGCAGATGATCTTTAAAAACACTTCTGTGCAACTGGAGAGGTTTGTTCACCTTATTTCCACAGAGCAAGAAACCTGGCAACGCAGCCGGGCTCAAATCAATCTTCAGATACATCCAGCAGACCTGGCTCCAGCTGCCAGACTCACAATCTTGCTCCTACTGAGAGGAATACGGAAGGCCCAACAACTGGCAAACACATATCAGTGACTTGCTGTGGCTGCAAGTTCAGTGAACTACAGGGTTCTCTCAATTCAACCTTCTTTCACAGATCCTATGAGAAGATGAAGATGGACACAAAGCCCCAAAGAACGAACCGTACAGACCAGTGGGACAGCAGAGAACATACAGTGCTGGATTGCATGAGATTCTTCTACTGCCTGAAGAGCTTGTTTCAACACTTCATATGATGAGTAGGAAGGTGCAAAAAATCTCTCTTCTACAGAGAGAAGGAGGATATTAATGTTCAAATGTCTAACAACATTCTTCACAACCCTGTGAACTAATGGATTAGTTCAAATAAAACCAAATGTACAATTTATTATTCTCGAGGTACATTTTTTCTACAGCTTCAGCTTCGTCTCTTGCAGCAAGTTGTTGAGTTTTTTTTATCAGTTATTTGCAGTTCCAGCCTCCACCATGACTAATATGCAATAGCAGGAAGGAGGTAGGACCTGATGGCAAAAACTGGAAGCAAGAAAGCAGCACATTATTTGCTGCACATTTGCATAGGCACTCTTCTAAAATTCAGTTCCATGCCTGTAACCTACTCAAGGACACTTGAGCAACAGCTGAAGGATTACAGACAGATATCCTGAGTTAGAGTTCAGATTGTAAACTGATGGCATGAATTCTGACTTTATATATGGAAAATCTTCAAAGTTTGTATCATCATATGCACATAATGCACAGACAGTGAAACTGCCTAAGTGAAATTCTGGGCATTATTAAAGAAGCTCATCCAAAATGATTTCATTCTGGCTTTAACTTGGGATACAAATGGGTACTGAAATGGATATGACAGAAGTTCTCATCACTTTTTTATTACACTAATGACCTGCATATAATGGCTCACTTCTGAAAAAGTCAGTCAGTACAGTTTCAAGGCATATGACATTTTTTGTCCAAAACACTAACAAAACACACCACTCCACTCATCAGGCTATGGAAATAAGAGGCAGACACACATTCTAAACTGAAATATTTAGTGGTCTTAAATCTTATACTCTCCAAAGGAAGTCAACATGCAACTCCAAGGCAATAAAACAAAAATCTTTATAGCTGTTTTTCTGAAGTAAACTTGCAACTCTTCAAATCTGTGTTACAGTAAAAAGAAAAAAAAATCAAAGCAAACAAAAGGTCCTCTGCTCTGTACAACTATATTTCTGATTTGACAGCTACAATTATAATCATTCAGACATCTATTTCCCACAAACTCTCAACAGCCATAACCTTTAGTGATTAATTATAAAGTTCCAGGAGCAAGAGTACACAGACTAATTTCCTAAAACAATAAAAGACAGAATTTCTCATTTGGAGCTAAATGAAACACGAACAGGTTGTTATTCATGCTGAAATCTAGATGCAGAGTCATGTTGCAGCCATTACAAAAGCTATTAAACACAACCTCAAATCAAAGAAACTGTAGGTCTCTCTCCTAAAATAAAATGTTTTACTCACTTATGAGGCTTCTGACTCCTTTGCTCCATTTCTTTTTCCCACTTCTTAGTAAAAAAAAAAATTCAAAATTCAATTTTGTTTCTCATTCTGCATCCCCATTGCTTTTAACAGTCATTTAAACTGTAACAGTCTAGAGCAAAACCAATGTTAGGGAAAGCTTTCATGCACACAGAATTGCAGCGGTGTTCTCTTCACATGAATCAATGTTTGAAAGTGTGCATCAACTTGCAAACAAAATGGTGACTCTTTTGAGGCTCTATCACTTTCCAAAGACTTTTCTACAGTGAATATTTCATAATCCCTCAGCTGAGACAGTTTTAATTAAGGTGCACATTAATTACATTGGAATTTTTTTTTTTACAGTCTGCCGAATTTGTTTAATGTAAACCTTTTTTTTTATTATTATTTAAAAAAAGGACCCTCCAAAAAAGGGAGAAACACTGCATTACAAACAATCTGACTTCCAGCTAGCATTGTAGATACTATAAAAAAGGAAAATTATGATTATTAGTGTATTAGTAGTTCTTTCAGTCAAGGACTTATTTCTCCTCCTGCAAGTGATGTTGGCACTCAATCCATAAAACACGTTCTTGGTAATTTTACTGCACGTGGCAATGAACAAGGTAAAGAATTGGAAAAAGATCTCTGTGTAACTGATACCACTTCTTTATCCTTGGGCCCCACTGCACCTTCAGTTAAAGTCAGTGGGACTTTTTCCAAATACTTGAATTAGTATTGAGTCAGTTCTGTAACTCGTTGAATTGCTAAACTGCAGAGAACTTCAGTTTAATATGCATCCTCTTGATGTATTTTAGAAAAGCTGGTATGATATTCTCCATAAAATTTGTCAATGAGGTACCTAAAATAATATTGTTACTGTACTGCAGATTCTCCACAAAGGAACACAAATTTTGCCATAACATAAAACACACCAAACCATGAATGTTCAAGTTAGCATGCTTTGCTACAGCAGCTTTTAAAAACCATAATACTAGTCCCACATCTTTTCTGCTTGAAGCTTCCCTGCTTTTCTGTAAGAATGCTATCTTCTAGTCATATTAGCATTCAGTGAAATTGAGTAATTCACTTTGAACTACATACAAAGAACAACACATACTAAATATGCTTTTTCAGTTTGTTTTTTTTTTTAATTCAATATGCACTAATTGATTAGGGTCTGAGGGGTGAATAAGAAATATGTATTCTACATAATAGAAAGCTGGGGAAGGGTTCAATGCATGAACTGGAAGCCAGATTTCTTCAATACAGATGAGTACACAAAATTAGCAAAAGGCAATATCACTTTTGGAAAGACTGCTTTGTGCATAATTTGTCATGAATTCAAAGTTATTCCTTTAGAAAATGAGTCTAAGACCTCCCAGCTGCTGCTTTATTGGTCTAATAAATTACCATTTCGATGGCACAATGCATATACACTATACACCATCCAAGCAAGTAAACTGCTAGAGTGGCTTCGCCTTTAGAGACACACGTGATGTCAGACATAAGTGAATGCCAATGGATATCTGAAAGCAATGAGGGACCAGAAAATGCCTCTGTTGTTGAACTGATAATGAAAATAGAGGATGTGCAAGCTTCCAAAACGTAAAGAGCGTATTTTAGGATTGTTTGTGTTAAAAATACTGACTCAAATGAATCTGCCCTTATTATAATAGATATAAAGCAGCTTCCTGATACAAAATGGGTCTACCTTATTCTAAGTACTCTACACTGTTTGAGTAGGATCTATTCACCTGAAAAGGAAATAAGAATAAATAAAGAAGATATTCTCTTCAGAGGATTAATTTCTGTCTTTGAACCTTACTCTTGTGGAGCTGGGATTCAGAGAACATAGTTCAAGTCTATACTAATGGTTAATAATAGTATAGATGAATTTGTGTTTAGCATCAGTGCCTTATTCTCAATGTTATTCCAACCAGGTAGGCCATAACAAAGGTTTATTATGACTCCTTCATAACACTGGTTTGCAAACATCCATACAGGGGAAGAACAAAACGAAAAAAGCCCAACAGCTGGTAATTTAGCATTCACTACTTCACCTTTCTCCAGCGAACTGTGGTGACTCACAATGAGCTCCAACAACTTGATGTTTTGGACACCTTCCATAATTTATAGAAATGCTCTACATTAGTGCCAAAGAGAAATACTCTGTTACTACAGACATATTTAGAGAAGAGTTTTAAATGCATGTACTCTTACAGAGCAATCCTTCAATACTTTTGCTGAAGGTGGCTGTTAGGAGGAAAACTGGAGGAATATGTGCAATGATTTTTATTTAATACTGGCAGTGGAAAGCTTACAAAATAAAAGAATACAAGAATTTGAGATAGATTTTGATTTTGTTTTCAACGGGTAAAAAGGTTTTCCCTCAGAGCTCGTGTGCACAGCATTACTTACCTGCGTTAGAATTAAGTTCTTCATTTTCTGATTCTGTTCCATTTTGACTTCCACTTCCATGGAGGCTATTCATTGCCATAAGTTTCATCTTCTGTAACTTCATAGCCTCTGCCATGGCTGCTGCTGTCAAACCTGGAAAGAACAGAAATAAATAAAATGCAGCATCACATGGTACAACACAGGACTGAAAAATATGAAGATCAAGATAATTCCTTTCGGTGAGAATAAGCAAGTCATGTAAGTTCAGTACAGATTCTCATCCCAGTTATGTAGCGTCATTCTGAACATTATCTTCAGGTCCTTTCTGTTATTCTAGTACTGCATTCTAAAAATGTATTTTCTAGTGTTTGTGTTTTTTGTCCCTTTTGCACATGTATAATGTAAAAAACTATTTATCTCACGTTATTCCTTTTCATTATACTTCTAAATATCATTTCCTGTCACTTTGATCACTTTGGCACTTTGATCTCTTTCTGTTTGACTTGGCTGCTACAAAATTTCCAAGTACACGTGTAAAATGTGGTGTTTCTTAATTTCAACAGCCGGAAGCCAATTAAAGTGGAAAAAATAAATGCTGTGCTATTATGATATATATAAAAACACTGCTTTTCTGAAGTCTTTTGATTTGAATATTATTACCACTGGAAAATACTACATTGGAAATGCAAGAAACATACAGTATAATTATAAACTCAACCTCACTTCAATGAGATATTAAAACCATTACACATTTACAGAATAAATAGGAGATTCTCAAGTGACTTAAACTGAATCAATTTAAAATAGTAATAGAGAAGGAGTGGGGTCAGGTTACCAGCTACCATCATCATTACGTGTTTTTCTTAAAAGGGAAAAGGAAAGGGAAAGGAGAAGATTTCCCTATGTTTTTCATTCATGACTGTAAGCTTTTCAAGTTTTATAATTTTGGATTTTTCAATATGAGATAAAATGTTCTTCTGGACAGTATCAAATTAATTTTACTCTGGCTAAGATGTGATTGAAAATCTCACATGGGAAATAGAGGGGGATAAGGACCCGTAACCAAAGAAGATCCTTACAGGTATCATGATTGATTCATTCAGTTATGGATAAAACTAGCTATAGTGCCTTCCTCTCAGCAAATTATGACTTGCTTTTGTTATCTCCTACAAAGCGCACTGAATGCTTCACATCAGCTATCTTGTAATTTAGTTCCACAAAAACACTCGCATTCACCAAAAACAACTTTTTTTTGGTTGGTAGCACATGATAATTCAGAACAGAATTAAATAATCTGCTCTGTATAAAAAGTACTGCTTACTGAGACATTAGACACTGATTAAAGTGAACTAATAATTTTCATATCCCATACTGCCGCACATCCATAAATGAAAATATTTTCTTTTAAAAGCTACTATGAATTTGACATTTAGATTAGCTGTGCTGCTCGTCTAACAGGCTTCACAAAGGTTCTCATTATTTTAATATGAGTTAAGTAAGCAAGCAATCAAGAGACTCCAAACGCAAGGGGAAGGTGTATGTATTACCATCACACACAGCTACAAACAGCAACCCTGTTAACTTCAGGAAGATACCCCTGATTAAAAGCAGTAAGTTGGAGATGATAGGTTATGACAAAGAAATAATAAAAGTCAACCAGTTCTGTTCTGCTACTCCCATCCCACCTAAAAGCCCTTCAGCATTCACCAAAATTATCTACATTTGCACAGTCCTATAATCCAAAAGCATCAATGCCAAGTCTGATGTGTATCACCTACACTAACTCAGCATTTGTTTTATTGTTCTGTCACTGCTACATGAAAAACCATATTGATCTTATTTTTAATATATACTAACTACAAATACACTAAAGCAGAGTCCAGAAAACAACATCAACTATTTTGTTTCTCGGGTCATTTCAGCCTTTACTTCTTAACAGTACTCATTTTTTATTTTAAAATGGAATTTTTCAAACACCCTTTGAAGTTCTTTTGCAAATGGTACAGGGTTTTTATCAGGTTAAAATCAAACCCTGATGTTTAAACTTCTGCTTTTAAAATTCTCTGGCAGACATCACTCACATTTAATCCATCAAAGAAATAATACATCTTAAATGATGAAACTGTTCATGCACTTTCAGAAGATGAAAGTCTATAAACTTCTCCACCTTGTCCTAGTGAAAGGAAACGGGATGGTTCTTCCTATTGTCTTTAGGAAGTTTGAGTTCATGATCACAAATCTTCTGAGGAATTTACTGCTTCCAGGGTTTCCAGGAACCTGCATGATTTGTGCTCCTACTTGCACTTTTGCTCCACATCCCAACCAATTCCAAGTGTTCAGGTACAGCCATCCCCAAATCACGATCAGAACAGTACTCACTCACAGCCTGTTCTCTTTTTGCTCAATAACCGTCTTACAAATAATCCACATCTCCTTTAAAGGTTACCAAAATGAAGTCCAAACACACTTCTTTTTAATGCAATGTTTTATCACTTGTATGTACCCAAGCACATATGGATGAACACACAGTCCAGTTAAGTATTTTCACCCGCGTCAGTATTTATGCAGATCCTTGAAACACTAGGTTACAAAGCTGTGCTTAATTTAAATATACAAATGAATAAATAAACTATTCAGAAGCACATAAACAGCAACAGAAAGTGAATTTTGGTCTTCAACAAAATTCTCAGTGAAAAAGTAAGGTGAGAAGTTAGCCAGGGTCTGTATAAAAAATACTTCTGAGCAGTTGCATCGGAAGCATAATGAAGACAGAAAAGGGGATTGAGGAACAAACAGAAAGGCATAAAAGGTCTCCAAATCACCACAATGCCACCTGCAGAAATTAAAAGTAATTATTGTCAGGCACTTCTGAGCTCCCTAACCAGACACAGCTGCCGTGAGGACAAAAGCCAAAAACACAATGATGTACCAGAAATCCATGCTGTGCCATCTGCCACACCAAAGTCGCTCTAGTTCAGCATTAAAAGTTTATAGAGTACAGCACAGTTCTAATGTATATAGCATGACAGTCTGAGGATGCTGAGTGGTCCGGATCAGTTACGGCAGATATGCCAGTACTCTTTCTAAGCTCAGCAACAGCAGCCTTTACACTGCTCTTCAGCCTCTACTAATCCCCGCTTTAACTGTGCTACAGTAAAAGCTCCAGAACTGTACTGTATGAGATATTTCAAAAACACTGCATAATCATTCCATAACTCTGAAAGCTAATACAACTGAGGCTGAAGTAGATGGTTTCATTAGTAATGGCACGGTACTGACTGAAAGGATGGAAGCAAACATGCAGTAAATCAAACACTGGCATAATCTCCAATTAAGACTACTGCCAAGGCTAATATTACTGAAACTTCTATTTAACTATTAAGAAAATTTTCTGCAACTGTCTTAGCTCCAGCTCACTGTGGCAAGGAGGGCTATTTTTCAACTGGCTTATCTGAAGATCTACAAAGAGCTGAAGAATCATTTCCATCCTCCTGGATGAATAATTAGCAGCAGCAGAAACACACTTCAGAGTGCCTCACATTGAAAAATGGACTTGCAAACTGCTGCAATGTGGACATCCCTCTACTTTCAACAAATAAAAAGGATCACAGAGAAAGCCTAAGGAGCTGGATCACACACTTCAAAGCTTCCAGCTTTTTCTCCCCACTTTACATTTCTCTTCCTTTAGACATCTTTGCCCAGTTGTGCTCAATCACAAAGCATCCAGGAAATAAACTATGCCACTTACTGCCAAATATGTGCAACTTCTCCAACACTAACAACAAAGAAAACCCTGAGTCTCAGGTCAGCTGCAGCACTTTGCTTCCCAAACCCTGCCCTGGTGAGGGACAGCAGCTCCTGTGGGCCCTGCGGCACAACCACCAAGGGCGCACCTCGGAGCTGTGCTCAGGGCAGCTCTCTAGATATGAATCTTGATTACAAGTGCATAACAGATTGTGATGGTGTGTGCTCAGGCACACCTGCATTGTGCATATGGCAAAACAGCCAACTGCCATTAGTAATTTTCAGTCTGAAATTTTAGTTTTGTCAGGACACTGTGTACTCTCCTTTTGACAAGTCTGCATAACTGCAGCACAACACACAGATTTAGCCCTGAAATAACCCTTCAAGGACATGCAAGCCAACATAGTTTATACTCAGGTTGCAATGAAGTCAGATTCTGCAGCTGTATTCTCAGCCGCAATTAAAGAATGCTTTTGCATCACAATTCTCAACCCTAACTAGGAGTACACAGCACCACAGGCCGCAGCACTGCAGAGACCTGCTATTAACGGGGTGCCGTCACTGTAACTGACCTAGGTGCACTACAGGGCCAGACTCACAGGGCATGTGCTCTGCTCCTCCAGCCCAGGCTCCTGGAGCACTGGAGAGTCATATACACAAAGCTGTCTCATCTCCAGGCTGCAAACCGTTAAAACCAGTGGTTAATTGTTTACTCGAGTGCCCTCTACACAGATACTACTGAAGCTCACTCCTCCATGAAGTCTCAGGAATGATTTCAACAAAAACGCAGTTACACTGCATGGCTTGAAGATCACAACTGCAAGGCCCCTTGCGGAGCCCCCCAGCCCCATCATGGGCAGCGCTGACCTCACCCCGCTCCCAGCATCAGGTGATGAAGGGCACTGCCTGGGGCCCTGAGCACAGCACAACTCACTGAGCAGCAGATGCCTTCCTGGAGAACCAAGAAACTGAAACTCAGTCACTCTCCTGCACCGATGGACCTCAGAATCTTTCTTTTAAGTGAGTCCTTCATGTTTAACTGATGTCCAGCTACTGGAAATTGGATCTTGATGGTAAACCCAATGATTCTAAGCATTTCGATACAACTCTGGGTATCTGCTAATCTTATGCTCAAGCCATAAGGTTTTAGGTCTATTTTTCAGCTCCCTAATTAGTTAGACTGTGCTCCTCCTTCATATTAGTTTGAAAGCCTTTCTGTCAAAACTGTGAACAAGTAAATTAACTAAAGGAGAACTATGAGTAATCAAATCTTGAGGTTTGCAATTAATTAAATGTAATGGTGAGTCAGTGAACTGAAGAATGGTCTTATATTAAAACAAAACATTTAATTAAATTAACAGCCAACACATTGCAATTAATAATATTCAAAAGAAAAATGAAACTCAGTT